ACATACATACATACATACATACATACATACATACATACATACATACATACATACATACATACATACATAGATACATAGATAGGCAGACAGACAGGATTATAGCTTCAATGAGTTTTTACAAAGACTTGACCTAATCTTTGATTCTTTTTTCAGGCCTAAAATAGTGTTGTTCTTAACTAGGCACCCCATAGAACCATCAATATCAATTTTTAAAAGATTTCCCCCTACTTTCTTCCTTTTTTTTCTTTGTAGCTCAGTGTTTTAACTCAAACCCAAGTAATTATTTCACCCTAAGTCTCGGCTGCTTTTATTGCAAAGCTCGTCCAAGGGTGGAATCGATCGCTCTACCTACCCTACCTAACTTTTCCAGCCTGGTTTTTAATTTTAAAAACCGACGTCCTCGAAAATGACCGTGGAAGAAAAACTGGATTTATCACCAAACTCTTACGGATGGTTTGATGCACCTTTTGTGTGTATGTGAAAGGGGGGGGGAGAGGAAGAGTCAGACAGACAAAAAGAAAAAGAAAGAAGAAAAGTGACAGGCAGGGTCTGCATGTGGAACCGAGCCAAGAAAATCCAGTTTCATATCCTGCCTCTGCCCTTTACTGGGTGTCATCACTAAAGCAACTTAAGGCTCTCATTTTCTCCTTCCGTCTCAAGTATAAGGGCAAAACCAAACCAGTCCTACCTTACCAGTTTGTTGTTACAGACCTTGCGTGGTCAGTGACTGGGATAAAAATGATAAGCAGCGGCGTGCGCGCGGCCCCCCCCGCCCCAGGGAATCCAGATGTAAAGCTTCAGTTACAGATGTATTGTGTAAATGCTAAGTGCCATTTAGGCAATGAGTCCTCAAGCCACTGATGGAGGTTGCCTGTGCATTTCACGCTTGGGTCTGCAGCAGCCTGTATAACTAAGCCAAACAAAACTAAAAGCTTAATTTGTGACCCACCCACCCCCCGTGATGGACAGCAAGCAGAGTGCGACTCTGGAGTAGGCCGAACAGGTGAGGGGGTTGCCCGTTTATTTGGAAAGAAGTGGTTGCGTGCGCGCACACACACACAAGGCGATCGCACGTCTCTTTGAAAACGAAACAACAGGCGATGATTTCTCCGCTTTGTGTGGTCCCCTTGTTCGAACGCAGGAAAAGTCACCCGTATTGCAACCGGTGCAATTTTTCCTGTGCACGCAACGCCTGCACGCTCTTGCGTCTGAGCCACTCGGAGGGGCTGTGGGATCGTGTGACACCCCCCCCGGACAGGCGTTGCGGAAGGAGGGACCCCCGTCCCGCGTCTAGAAATTGACAGGAGCTGTTCATTTGGATCCCGTTTAATTAAGGAGCTTTAAAGGCCTGCCCGCAAGTAAGCAGCGGCTTCCCTCAAAGGGGGGAGCGCGGAGAAGGGGGGTGTCAGGGACCCACGGCTAACAAAGAAGGAGGGGAGGCGAATGCCGGTCGATCCCAAGAACCCCCTTTCCAGAAAACACGATCCACAAGCCGCTTAAATCGAAGCAAGCTATCCGGTCTCCTTTTGAACCCCTTCCCAGTGGCAGAAACTGCCACCCTTTCGACTTGGGGGGAATTTAATGGGTTAAACGGAAGCCTTCCGGTTTAAAGGAGCTGCGGATGGGCCGCTGGAGACAAGGTTTTAATATTTATTTACTCCGGCAGAGGCGCACAGGGAAACGCACCGAGTAAGGGCAAACTCACAGCGAAAACAAACGAACCCACTCTAGTCCGGATTCAGAAATGGCTCCAAGGTAGACAAGGGGACCTAGCCTGGCTAGCCCCCCCCCCACCTCGGCTCCTATGCCTTTGAGAAGCGCGTGCCTCGCTAAAAGTGCGTCGGCACACGCAGAGAGAAGCAGGGCGGAAGGAGGCCAGAGAGAGTGACACCCGAGAAGGTGCGGGAGCGCGCCTGTCCAGGGCCTATTGCTACACACACAGCGTAACTGCCTTTGCCCCAATGGGAGATGGATGAGACACCCCTCCAAAAAAATCCGCCACGATGGTCCCGTTGCAAATGAAAGGCGTTAGCCCAGGGTTTGCTTGATTGCAACACGCCGGTGTTAAAGGAGGCGGCGGGGCATTTCCCCCGCGGGCTCCAAGATCCGCCTGGATCTCAGTCTAACAGGGAAGCAGATCCGAAAGCCACAGTCCTTGTGTGGGGGGGCGGCGGAATTATCTGATTCATTGCAGCGGGGCTTTGGGGACTGGACAGATTTCGGCCGGATGGTAACCCCAAAGCGATGCAAGAGTGAGAGAGAGAGGGCTTGCGGGCCCAGCGGCTATGCAGATGCGCAGATGGAAATGCATTGCTTATTAAAAGAACAAGGAAGGTGTGTCGGAGACAATTGGAGAGGAAGCAGAGAATGACGACTGTGAAACCCATCAAGAGGTGCAGCAGGAAAAAAAAAAACAACCCATCGCAGAGTTCGCCGTTAAACTAAAGCGCAGATTCCCTTCCTGGTTATTTCTCCAGATCAGACCGTGCAGACTGGCTGAGAATCGCCACATTAGTAACCGACGGATATTGGGGTGCTCTCTTGGCGTACCCACCTAGAACTGCTTTTGAAAAATAATCTGATATCCCAGTAAGGTATCAGAATAACCAGCAGTTCCGCCGCCCCCGGGAGTGGGAGATAAATACCTATCCAGTTCCTCCTTAGCCTTAAAGGATCGGGATCAACTAGAATATCCATGGGACTCGTGGGGACACGCCAACACGTCTCCTCCATGCAGGGAGGCCCTACGCTCGGACCTGAGCGAGCAACAGCGACATTCTTGACCTTTTAAAATTTTAATTTTTTTTTTTACGGTAGGCAAAATACCCGTAAGAAAGCCGACCACCCAAGAAGAGTCGCCACGAAATTCTTCAGCGGTTCAAACCGAAGTGAATCGACTCATTCCACGGAAAAAAATCAACGGAGCTTCTCCGAACGCAACCATTTCAGGGCTACACCGCGCCCAAGCCCACGCATGCAAACATAATACACACAGACAAACACACGCCAAAGAAATCTCTACAGAAATAAAACAGGCTTTCCGATTCAAAACAGCCGTCTCCTCTCTTTTTTTCTCCCCTGATTTTCAAACTGTGACCTACTTACCTGACGAAAGGCACGGCGTCCCACCATTGCTAAGGGTCTGTGAATGATTATTTATTAGCATCAATATTCCTCTTTGCTTACGTTCAAACAGGCGTCTTGCCACGCTCGGGAGAGACCCGGGGAAGGGAATTCACCCCCAACCCGGTCTTCTCTGGCTTCTGCCTCCGGGCTCCTGCGCTTCTGTCGAGGACGCCGACCGAGGCCGAGGCCAGAGGTTCGGAGCCGCCCTCTGGGCTTCAGCCGAGCCCAAGGGAGGCGCGCCAGGGAGTCACTTCCCAAAGGCGAAAGCCCGTCGCTTCTCCATCCCCACCGAGGGCCGTGGGGGGCCGCTTCTGGTCCTCCTTTCCCAAAGGCAACAACAGTGCCCTCCTCGCTTGGCGCGCCGGAGAGGAGAGGCCAGCGCGCCTACCCAAATTCCTGACCTCGGCTGGGGGAGAGAAGGGGGCCCCTTGGATGCAGGGCAACGCCTGCTCTTTCGGGATCCACCGGCCCCGTGGAGAGCGGTGGCAGGCGGTGGGTTCCCAAGGCTGAGGTCTCCTCTAGCGTCCCCTCTCGCGATCTCCATTTTTAAACATTGCTAGCTGCCTTCCTCGGCTGCGCCTGATCGCAACCGCCACCCGAGAAACGGATCCCCCTTGGCGACGCCTTTGTGAGCCACTCTCCACTCCGGGGAAACCTCAAGGGCCGGGGATGCCCCGGACGGACACCCGGCTGCCGGCGGGTTTGACGCGCGCCTCCATCCCTCTGCGCGCTCCCGTCGCCAACCTTAGGGTAGCGACCGGAGTTATTGATTTATTTGGGGAGAAGACGGGAGACCCGTCGTTTCGGGACTGTTTAGGAGACGGAAGCGCTCCCGCCCTTTTTTGAGGGAGAAGGGGGCCCAGCTAAAAGAACGCGGTACGATTTTTATTTTTATTATTATTATTTGTGATGAGCAGCAGGGAGGCGAGGTAGAGAAATCTGCCCGGGCGGCAAAGATGGAGGCGGACAAAGGCGAGCCTTAAAAGGTGAACATTGACAAGGGCGGATTGATGGAGAGGGAAGACCGCGGACCCGGCTCGCCCACACCTTTCCACTGCACCCCGTGGATCACCCGTGAAACAAATGTCGGCCTTTATTTTATTTCGTTAGTGAACGCGAGCGGGTCTTTAAGAAGCGTCTTAGGGCTTCGGGTCCACAACATTTTTGCACAGAGCAATTACTTTAAAAAAAAATTAAAGCAAAGCAACAAATCGCGCGGCCCTGTACGATTTTTATTTTTGTGCAAAGCACAAACGAGGATGAAATTAACCACACACACACACACACACACACACACAGAGAGAGAGAGAGAGAGAGAGAGAGCTCTCCGGGCCACCTGCCCTGTTGCGCCCCTGCAGCCACCGATGGCCCGGGTAACGTGGCTTTACTAAGCGTTTCACGCGTTACTGCCCCCCTTTCTCCGGGCGCCTTAAAACGGGCTAGCCTTTCCTCCCCTTTCTGCCCCATAAAGCTGGGGTGATGCCCATGTTTGCGCATTAACCCCCACGCTCCCGTAACTACCACCTCCGGCAATTCGCGGTGCAGGAGGGCCTGATTCCGCCCCAGTTTGCCCCCCCACTTGGCCACTCCGCACCCCATCTGGAAGGGAGGCAGGATCCGGCCTCTGGAAAGCCGATTTCGGGGCCGCTGGGCTTGGCCCACGTGGGTCCTGCGCCAGAGGCATCAAGAGGGGTGGAGATCGCGCGGCGGGCTGGAGGTGGGAGAGAGAGAAAAAAAGAGGGCTTCATCCTGCACTGACCTTAGCAGCCGCTTTGTTCTCTTTCGATCCGCTGTGAATTTATCTTCCGCTGATCCGCTCCAGCGCTGCCCTCCAAAATGACAGCCGACTCCCCCCCGCCCTCGCGGCTGCTTCCAAGCGGCGTCAGAGGCACCTGGGCGAGCCACATCCTTCGGGCAGCAAGCCCGACTCTTTCTGACCTCCCCGCTCCTCCTTCCCCGCCGCTGCCGCCGCCGCCGCCAGCACCGTCCCCCCCGTCCCCACCTCCGGCACCACCTCCTCCTCCTCTTCCTCACCCCCCCCAAGGGAGATCGGAGCTCTTCCGGGTTGGAAAGGGGCGAAGAAAGGAGGAGAGGCAGGCGGGGGAGGAAGAAACCAGGAGAGGAAAGGTGGGGGGAGGGGAGGGGGAGGATGATGACGGGCAGGTCTTCCCGCCTCCGTCCCGCGAATCGCAGGTGGGGTTTAGGGAGGAAGAGGAGGGGAGGAAGGGCAGGGAGGAGGCGGGGGAGGGGAGAATCGATTTGCGCACGTGATGGGATGGCACCCACCTGGGCCGATGATGCTCGAAGTCCCAAAAGGTTGGGACACACACCCAAAAAAGGAGGGGAATAAGTGTTATTGTTGATCCTCGACCTGGGGTCGGGGGGGAAGCAGGTGGTCCCATTTGGGGGGGGGTGTTCCTGTCCTGAGCTTTGGAGAAAACGCCGATCACACGCACGCCCGAATCGGCCTAGATTTCGCGCGGAGGTGTGCGTCTTCCCCTCCCCGAAATGCCTCTTTGGAGAGAGGGGCTTTCCCCCCTTCCTTTCTTGAAGGTAAACAAAACGCACATGGGAGGGAGGGAGCTGAGGGGGGGGAAGAGAGGGGGGAGCCCTCCGCCCCCGCCCCCAATCGGAGACATAATAACCGGAGCCAGGGAGACAAAACAGGCTCAACTGGACACCGCGCAAAGCTGGGCCGGAGTGCAGTTTACACACGCGCGCGCTTGCTCTCCAATTTTTGGGACTTGGGTTCGATTGATGTCAAGGCAAGCAACTCCCGGCCTCGTTCCCTGCGCTGTCTCGGGGCGGACGGGGTGCGGAGCGGAGAGGCGCAGAGGAAGCGAAGGCGCGCATCTTTGCCAAAGGCCCACGCCCAAAGATCTGCCCGGGGGGGGGAAGCGTTCTCCCTCCCACAGTCTCGTCTCTTCCCCCCCCCATCCCTTATCCTGTCTGTCAAAGGCAAGAAGTCTCGGCTTTATTCTGACATCGGATCCTTACCGGCTAACATCGCAGGCAGGGACGGAAATAAAAGCAGACCCGCATCGCCGGCGGAAATTTATTCATTTTTGTTCCAGCCGCCCCGCTTCCTCGCGGATCTCCTCCGCGCTGATTCAAACCAGAATGAGATTTTTTTAAAAAAATAAATAAATATATACAGTATATGCTGTGTTAAAGAAACTCCCACCTTTAATTCCTCGGAAGGAGCAGGCCCCGGTTTAACTCCTTCTTCCCCAGCAGGTGACGTTCAGACGCCATTCTCAACCTGGCCCTTCCAGGAGGAGCGGAAAGCGAGGAATGAGCGTCCCTTTGGACCCCTTTGCGGGGCGCCCCTCCCTCCCCGTTCCTTTATAAAAGGCCGCGTTTATCCGCACGCCTGGAGGTCCCCCGCCCCTTCTCCACCACCCGGCCCGCGTTATATATTTAAATAGGCGTATTTCAAAATAATAGGTGGCACGAGGCAAGGCGGGCTCATTGTTTCGCGAGGGCTTTCCCCTCCTTCCAAACGGAGCCCCTTGCTTTGCAACCTCGACTGGATGTTTTACTTGGGAGTAAGAAGGATTCCTTCAGAAGCCCCTTCCTTCCGTTTAAGGAACGGGGACAGGTCTCTTGACCACTGAGTCTGAGGGAATCGTGTCTGCCTGTATGCCCACCACGCCTGTCTTTCATCCTGACATTGTCAGAGATTCATTTGAATCCAGGAGGGCGTGGAAAAGAGCGACTTGGAGCCAGCGACTCGGGTCCGCAAGCGCTTCACGTGCCTGTATTTCCCTTTTTTCAAAAAAGAAAAAAAAAGGGGGGGGGAAGTTAAGTAAAAGAAAATGTGTGGGAGGAAAAGAGGACTGGAGAAGATTATTAAAGGCATGGTGGAGGAGAAGAAGGAGGGGATGGCTTTACGTGGGTAATACCCAATTAGTACATTACAATTCATAATTCACCTTTTCTCCACGTTTGGGCTGTATTGAAAGACGATTGTAAACTTTTATTATTATTATTATTATTATT